CACCTTTGATTTGCATTATGTGTGCACCAGATCACTTGTGCGCCATCAGGTGGCTCGGCCAGTGTTCCTTGTGTCTTTAGAATGAGAGAAAGAACAGTAATAGTTTTACCAAGTCCAGGCTCATCACAAAACATTCCTCCCCGAAAATCATTTACTATAGGAGCAGCTTCAGTTACAACTTCACCAGATATGGCATTTAGATAGAACACAAATCCGTCTTCAGTAACAAAATCCATATACAGAGGGTGCTGCAAGGGCCCAGCATCCCTTTCACGCCGTAACATCCACTCAACTGCAGCCTGTTGGTGAGGAAACAGCTTAAGTTTCATGCAAGGCATGATCCCTTTTGCCAAAGATCTTATATGGTGACATGTCGCAGATACCCGAACAAGGTCAATGGGGTTGAGAAAAGAAAGAATAATGAGCAATATATCATCAGATACCAGCCAAATACCAGTTCTGCTTGGATTAGAAGCATTTATTTTCGAGTAAGCAGATTCCCCCCTCTTTACTATGCTAGGCAAGCTCTTAAAAATTTCATGCAGCTCAAACAGCTTTTTCTTGGATGGGTCAGGAGCACTGCAGTGGTGTTTGCATCCTAGAGCATCACAGTCAAAAAGATTCCAAATGTTATTATCTTCTTCACAATTGATAAACTTGAGTATCAAACTTCTAGCTTTCCAATCACAGCTGCAATGAGAAAGTTGGAAATATGATTAAAATTCCAAGTAGGAAAGAAAATGATGAAAACCCAGATGATGAAAGGAAAGAAAAACAACTATCTGTCATTTCCACTCCAATGAGTGTAACATTTAAAAATAAGAGACAAAATTCAGTAAAAAAAAAGTCCCCGTGAACAACAATGCTTACAAATTCACTTGAAAAGTGTTTGGTCCATTTGAGTGAATAGGTGTAGCTGTAACTATGATCACAGAAAGAACGTAGCTTTACCTATCAAAAAACAATACATTGAAGGTATGTATATAGAGAGCAGAAATAGAGGGGCTGAGCAGAAAGGTAATCAAAATTCCAAACCTGGCATGGCGGAAGAGCGCAGCAGCAGCAGAGGCAGACTTAGGGAATCGCCAACCTGACCACAAGGCTACAGGCAAGTAGACATCAACAAGCAGAACAGCCCTAACCTCCCCATTCTGCGCCACAACCCGGGCCACCGTGGCAATAATCCTCAAACACTTGCTGGCTACAAGTGCATGGAGCTGATGGACGACGCTCAAGCTCCCGTGAATCATCCCAATTCTGCTCCACTTGTTAATCTTCTTTGAAGTGGATGACTCGTATACAGAAATCCACACACTGTTCTTCCTCTTCTTCTTCTTCGTAATCTTCTTAGTCTTCCCACACTTTTTCTTGGAGGCCGAGGGCGCACCAGACCCAATGTGCATGGGATCATCCTCTCCACCGCAACCCCTGTTCGAATTACTGATAGGGTACAAAAGAACGCCGTTTTCTGCAACAAAATGCGCGTCATAGGGACTCTCGCCTGCAATGCGGCAACGCGAGCCGAGAGGGAGGACATCCGCTATGTCCGCATTAGGGTTAATTTCAATCCTAAGAACTGCGCGCACGAACCCGCATAGCTTGTAGTCTTCAGGGATTATTGAATCAGCCGCGCCGGCAATAGGGTTTTCCATTACCGAATCAGAACGGATCAATTCGACGGCTAGTCCTCGTCGGAGACGTTATACAAAGAGGGAATTCGATCCATCGGGAGCGAAAACCCCGGGCAGTGATGCGAAATACAAGCTCAGCACTGAAAACAAGAACAGTGATAGCTGATGGTTTCCCCCTTCAATTCCCCTCAGCGTAAGGCATAACAAAAGAGAGTTCTTTCATGGGAGTTTCTTGAAATTTACGAGGAGCTCCAATGGAGGTGAAGATCAGAGGCAGGGATCGTGGGAACAAAGACGGAAGAGAGTTGGTTTTCGGCTTTTCGCCTTTTCTTTACGTTAGGTAGAAGTTTAAGGCTACTTTATTGCTCCTTCTAAAAAGGTGTCAAATTTTAAAATTTGTTATAGCTAGCTAGCAATAAGGCTCTAATATTACCTCATCTTCCTCTCAAAAATAATGTTACAATTCATTATTCAAAAATTATAAAATTTTTATTTGTTTATATATATAATTTGATTATTTGATAAAAATAAAATATTTTTATTATTTTTTGTTTTGAAAAAGCTTTTAACGTAGTTTTTCAAATATGTATGTTTATTTTTTTATTTTTATTCTCGTTGTTAAATAAAATAAATTAAAAATATTAAAATTTTGTTTCATTTTGTGTAATGTGTCAAATATTTTGGAACATAGAGAGTAGTGTCGGTTTTATTTTGAGCTAGTCTTTATCCCCTTTTTTGTACGAGCTCATATAAATTCTAAAAAATTTTAATATTTTGATTACATTAAATTTTGAGTAAAACATATTTTTATTTGATTTTTTAACAACTATAAAATGTGTGTGGTATATGACTATTAATATTCTAGTTTGTGTCATTCATGACTCATGAGTTGAATAAAAAATTAGTTCTAGGAAAAATATGATTTTTATTTCATGCATTACTATGATTTCCTCCCTCAGCATAGTTGCCAGGAATCGAACTCGGGGTTTACCCTCTTAGCACTCCTTGCCTTGCCAACTGCACAACACTCACCGGCATGGATTTTTATACTAAGGGTTTTACAGGTTATTGATATTCCCTCGTTCATAATGAGCTACGTAGTACTTGAGAGTAGAGATAAACAAGACAAGAAATTGCAAATCCATGAATCCTAGAATTTGGCTATTCACTTCAAATTCACAGTTAATTAAATTCACATGAAAAAATACTCAAACGCTAAGTAAAATAAAGCAAACATTCCAAATATATGGTCATAACAATTACAAACTTTAAAAAAATTGTAATTTTTTTTACCAATCCTAAATCACTAATCCAAATGCCGGAGAATAGTTATAGATTTTTTTATGCTCTAATCCCTAAAAAATTTTGATAATTTATTTAAAAAATGGCTGAGTGTCCAACATGTTTCTTATTAATACTTTCTCTGTCCTAAAACGTTTTTCCCAATTACTATTCATATGGTCAAATTTTAATCACTTTCTATACCTATTTTTGTTAGCTATTTGATAAAATAATATAGTCTTGTCACCTTTTGTTTTTACAGTAGAATTTTTTATGTAGTTTTTAAATATATAAATTTTATTTTTAAATTTTACACATAGTGATGGTGTAAATTATCGACCGGTATATCGTTTTTAGCCGGGCAAAAACAATAAACTGGTCTAAAAAATACACCAAAATATAAAAACAAGAATTTTGACGTGGAAATCCAAATCGTGAGAAAACCACGGGCCTTTTTCGTGGTACCTTACCAACGAGGGATTTTTATTAATATCGGAGGTTGTACATAGTGCATGATTTGGGCTTGGAAGCCATTAATGGAAGCTTGAAGCTTCTTGGAAGAAAGAAAATACATAAAATCTAGAGAGAGAAAGTAACGAGCAGGAGTAATGGAGATGAATGGCCTCCCATTTGATTAAGAAGAGCCATCCTTTTATAGGAGTAGCATGAGCATCTACGGGAGAATATTCTCTTATTCCTTAATTTTATTAAACAGACCCGATTTGATTATTCTTCGTAAATCATTGGGAAATGTGGACCGAGCCACGTATTATTTCCCATCAAGAATCCCTCCACTTTTTTAAGTTGTGAGAATCATCAACTTAAGAAAGTAAACAAGTCCTCCGAGTGCTATCTTCAATCTTCGTACTTTGCATTCTTGACCGGTTGATATTGTGAGTCCTCCGAGTCTTTATTAATTCTCTAATTTCTTAAATGAGATGTTTTTCTGTAAAAAATAATGTGTACAATATTTTTTTGACTAGCCTATGCCCTGCTCAAATAATTATTATCTTTACTAAGGAGCTCGGTGTTAGGGTGATTAAAATACGCGTGGATAACTATCATAACGAGAGCAATGTTAGTTTGATGAAACAATGGTAATAGTTATTTAATTTTGACAAGACCGGATTAGTACAATGAAGCTACGGTGCCTCAATTGGTTATTTCATCGAGACCGATGTTAGTATGAATCATGTAAACGGTGTATAGCAAAATTAGTATATCGAAGTGATCGATGTCACTTAATACAAATTAAGTATGTTGCAGCAGCTTTGTCGAATATCGATGTTAGCACGACTACCTGATGCGAGTATTGTCACGCCATGGAGGGATCATCTTCAGAGTGCCTCATAAAAAGGCTTGACAAATCGGGTGTCCCCGATATGAGCTTTGCTGAGACACTGGTGTACCCAATTTGATAGGGTTCAGACTTATGAGAAAATATGTGCAAGACCGGTGTGTATATCCTTCTTGGCTTGGAGTTGAACAAGAATGATTTTTACCAGCGTACCAGGCTGGGCATGTGTCACATATTTTGTTTTTTATTACACTGAGAAAGACCGGTGTAGTTCCAGCGTGCCAGGCCGGATCTGTGTCTCAGTCTTTCGCTTTTTTTATATACTGAGCAAGACAGGTGTCGTAACCAGCGTACCAAGCTCAATTTGTGTCTCAGTCTTCCTTTAAGATTTGCCAATGATCAATGTGCATAAGTAGGACCTACTGCACAATCACTTTCTTTACCATGCTCATGGTAAGTCCTCCCATTTAAAAGAAAATACAGAATAAGGTGCATGTGCATTTTCAAGCATCTTTCTTTGTAATTTTGCATGTTCCTTCCTCATAATTGAAAATATGGATCACATGCATGGTCCCCACCACTTTGCACTCTTTTCACTGATATTTCTTTCTTTCAATTCTCTTGATTCTCTCGATCCTTCACATGGTTTTCACTTCAAAATGTACATATTGTCTTTTATCTTCGTGGATGGTCCCCACTAGCCAATTCATGTTCCTTTTCAATCAATCAAACAATTAGAAAGATCCTCATTGGTAAAGATGCCCCCTACTCCGGCAGGAAGCGACAACAACGAAATCTTAGGTAACGGTGACCACCATGAAAATCTGCCCAGGGATCTCTCCCCCGTATAGGTTGGTTCATCTTCTCTTTTTGAAAGTGGCTAGTCAATCCACTTCTCGTGGCATGGTGATGCGGATCTAGATATAGTCCCGAGAGAGAAAGCGAACCGATCTCGGTGGCAATGGTGACACCAGATTTGGATAACAGTGGCGGCATGAGGTTTTCACTGGCAACTCAAGTGGATGGTCCTCTGGTAGTAGAGATGACGGTGGATGCGCCTCTATGAAACATCAATGGCAATAGTTAACTTTAACGGCGGCGAATTTCTACACCAACAATTTTCTGTTTGCTGGACTATAAGATGGTTGACAGCAAATCTGTTGTCACCCAGGGTGAGGAGCTTATGGCAATCTTCAATAAATGCAATGAAGAGAAAGTAGGCGTTGGTGAGGCCTTTCAAGTAGCGGCCATCATCCACAAACTTCCACAATCTTGGGAAGACTTCCAAGCCGATCTCAAGCTCAAAAGAACTGAGACGAACCTGGAGCAACTGCTCACGCAGTTAAGGAAGTACTTGATAGGCTTAGGAATCGTGAAAAGATAACTTCCAAACTAAAGTTATTTCACACAAACCGAAATACTTAATTTGGATAAGACGTAAACGTTAAAGAAGAAGTATGAAGACTTTCGAAAGACTATAGTCACTTGGACTTGTTCTTAGTTATTCTACCAAAATAGGTGTAACACCCCGATCCGCGTAACCCGGTTTAATTGGGTTAGCGGGCCAAAACGCTAACAAATTGGTAAAGTAACATGCATAATTTGAAGAAAACATTTTAATAATAATAATAATTCAAATGATGTAAAACATGAACATCACGAATTGTTTCGGAGTAGGGAAATAAAATATCGTTGCGGAAGCTCAAGGAATTTAAAACAGTAACCACGTGGGTTCAAGACCCAAAATTATTCAAACTTAATTTAAAGAAAGGTAATGAAGGTGAAATTGTTCCCACACCCATGCCACCATCTCTTCCGCCTCATACTTCACTTCACTTGCCTACTAGGTTTTATCTACATCGTTTCTATGGGAGTTGTAAAATCCAAGCTCTCACTTATCCATGCTCAAACTCCAAAGTTCTCGCAATAGAGGGGGTTGAGGCCCCCGTTGGCTCTTACTACGGGTCACTGACTTGCGTATGTACGTTTTTAACCCTCGAGACCATCAGAAGTGCGATGACACCCACATGACCTTATTTTCTAACCTTAATTCTATTGCTGATTTCCAATATTCAATTCAACTCAGATCCGCATAGACCTACTAAGTGACCTATTTTACAATTTTAGTTTGACATATAATAATCACCAATTTATTAATAAGTAAATTTAGATTAATTTGTGATTATTAGCTAATTTTAAGGTCAAATTATAAATAAAGATCGAATTGCAAATAATTTAAAGATGTAGGGGTCAAATTACGATTTGTTTTAAAAAAATGCAATCTTTTTGTGAGTGTTTCTCTGGTGTACCTTGGGTGCATATCATTTTTGTAGATCTTCTTACATTAAAATTCTTTTTTTATTTTTTTTATTTTTAGAAAAATAAATGTTTTTCTAAATAGTAAAGAAATGATTATTTTATTCTTAAGCACCTACACCATATTTTTCTCTTTTTAAATCCCTTTGGCTCAACAATTCTTCGATCGACCCGACCAGCATTCTTTCCGACGGTCCCGGTCTCCCAAGCACTAGCGCCGGCGTCCATCTCAGCGGCTGCAACAGGAGCAAGGTAGTGGTGCAACATCTCAATCCCTGCGTGTTTCATCACAGTGAAACAGGCCGGCGGCGACAACAGTTTATTCGACGGTAGCAGTTCGATTCAATTGAGAGGAGCAGCAGCAGCCCGATTCCAATATGAGGAGCAGCGGCGGAATTCCGGCAGCTTCATGTTCTCCGGAGAATGCAGCTACTCAGTTTCAGCGGAAGATTCTGCAGTAGCAACCGCGGCCCTTCCCTTACTTCCGGCATCAGAACACAGCAACGGGGCAACACCAAACTGGACCGGCGGGATGACAAACGGCACGAGCAGAGCAGAAGAACAAACAGAGGACAGGGGGGAGCCAGAAAATTCATAGAGTGGAGGCGAAAAAAAAACTAAATAAAACGATAAATATTGTTAATATTAAAATTCATAACATAACAAATCATATTACCTCAAGTCTACAAATTCATTCTTATAACCTTCATTGCTTGAAAATATTGTAGGATGTCTTCAATTAAAATATTTAAAAAATATTTAAAATTTGTCAATTAAATTATTTAAAAAAAATATGGGATATTATTTGAAGTTTTGAACAAACTACGTAGTACCTATTATGAGAAAACAAAAAAATCTACCAGAAAACAAAAAAAACTCTAACCCTAGTATTTTTTGTTTTCTCTAATAGTCTAACCTAGTTTTCTTTGAAATATTTGCACTAAATAGCACTAAAACTTAAGTCATTTCCGTAAATAGCACTTAAATTGTTTTATTTTTTAAATAGCACTTAATAATGTCTATAATGTCCAGTGATGACAAATATTTACTTGAAAAATGACTAATGCATAATGACTAAAAGTACTGCATTGGAAAGAAAAACACATGTGGTGCTATTTAGGGAAAGTCATTATGTTTTAGTGATATTTAAGTAAATTGCTCGTTTTCTTTTTGTACGAGTGCCTTATATGAGTGCCTAATATGAGAACAAAAAAAATCATCAAAAACTATTTTTTGTTTTACCAATAGTATGAGTGCCTAATATCAGAAAACAAAAAAAAAATTAAAGAAGAAGATGAAAACCAATTGCACACAAAAGAATTGAGAAAAATAAGATTAATTTGCTAATTTGAAAAAACCACAATAAAATTTAGGTTAAATGGTAATCAATTGCTGATTTAAAAAATTAGAGAAAAAACCTGATAAAAAGAATCGTCGCACTTGCCGCACTTCGTCGCCGGCCAGTTCCCGTAAGGGTCTCCGTCTCTGCACACTGCACTTCGCACAATTTGAATAAAGATTTTAGGAATTGAAGATTGAGTGGGGATTTGGGAATAGATTCAAGAATTGAGTGGATGTAATTGGGTGGGATTTGGGAAGGAGAAGGGAATTGGCTCACGGGTGGAAAAGAGATTTGAAATTGCTGCCTGACTTCTGGTGTTGTACATGAATGGACAGGTGACAGAACCGGCGGAATAGGGAGGAAGACAGAATCAACAGAACCAACACAATACCCAAGTTTTCCCAAAATCCAATTCCAATTTTACCCATATATTGATACGGTATCCTACCAGAATAGGGAAGGTTGAACACTGTTGGAATTTTTGGCATTTTAATAGGCATTAAATGGACCAACTAGGGTATATTTGTCAATAGGTCCACTAACGGTTTTAACCGTTAATTAATGGACGTGTTTTCTCTTAAATGAGATAAATGTTTTGACAAATATTACGCCAAAAATGGTAGAGGGTGAATGAGAAATTGATTCTCAGAGTTAACCCGTTAATAAAAGAATATGGTGAGGATTGCTTTTTTTGCAATTTTACTGAACCAATCTTCTTTTATTAATTTTACGTATTGTTTAAAATTAGTCCATCTTTACAGAGTTAACATGCCATTAATCTCCAATTATTCGGGACAAATTTTAAACGGAGCGTAGCGTAACGGACGTGTTAATGGCTAATTAATCACCATTAACACACCACAAATGCCATGATTAATTCCAATGGTTAATGGTGGGAGTTACATTTTTCCTAAACTCCTTAATTATAAAATCAAAGCTCACTCCATCATTTCTTGTGGTGCTTCACGTGAGAAACAAAAAGAAAAAGAAAGAAAATCTTTCTTGTTTATTTTTTGAGAGAGCATCCATAAGTGGGAAGTAAAAGAGGAGAAGGAAAAAGTTAACAATTTTGTCCTTGTTTAACTTTGAGGAGAGCTCTTGGTTCTCTTGCCAATTTTTTCCGGCAATCCCCTTCAAAGTTTTTTTGGTCCCCTTCAAAGTTTTTTTGGACATCCCTAATCTCTTCCTCTTCCCTCTCGTTCTTTTATTCCGCCGAACAAAGTGTCGTGCGATTATCTCGTGGAGTGCCGATGAGTTTCCTTATAGAACGCATCATGGTTGTTTTGAAAATGTATCTCTATAGGAATCAGGCTCGGCATAATTGGGGGACCAAGAACTAAGTTCTGTATTGAACAAGAGGCCTCTATGGCGAATGCATATACCTCAGAATCATATTTTGGTTGACCTTCAATTTGACGAAATACCTGAATTTTCTTTATAATCTCATCTACGGAATCTTCAACTGCCCACACTCCTTCATAAAATTCAATTTGTCCCCGTAGAACTTTTTCAAGTAAACCCAGAACTTTGTCCAACAGTGAGTCCATTGCCAAAATAAACACCACCACACAAAAATATCACTAAAAAAAATATAGTAATAAGACCTCAAATATTATTTTTTCCCCTAGGCCGAAGCAACCAAATTGAGGCTATTACCTCAAATCTTGTCCCTTGAATTGCTACACAACGGCGGCAAGTTTGATGGTTGCACAACCCCCACTCTTTTTTTTCAATTGGGTTGCGGCTAGCTCTCAAATCAAGCTGCTGCCAATTTTTTTTCCCACTTTTCCTTTTAAAATCCCAATGAAGCCTTGCTCCCACCTTGCGATGAATTACGCCGCTTTGCACCTCTACACTGATCTATTTTCTTCTATTTCCCAACTTCTTCAAATCAGGATGCAGAGGAATGCTCTTTCATAATTCTTGATGTAAATCAGATCGATTGATCCGATCAGGAAGAGAAAAAAAGAATTTTCTTTTGTTTTTTTGTGGTTTTTTTGGCGAGTTCACCAATGACAGCACTAATTGATACGGTATCGTATCAGGATAGGGAAGGTTGAGCACCTCCGAGCTATAGAATTGGGGAAAATGAAAAGAAGAGATAATCGCACGACACTTTGTTCGGCGGAATAGAAGAAAGAGAGGGAAGAGGAAGAGATTAGGGTTTAGTAAAAATTGTTTCTTATTGATTGAATAATTCTAAACACGTACATCTAAATTTATAAAATGGAACTCTAGAACCCTAAGAGAGTCCAATCTCTAAAGAAAACTAAATAAAATAAGAAACTAATTAATAACCTAACAAAAATAATATTCTCTAATAATAATTAACTAACTAACCATATATAATACCTTGCCTATAATAATAATAATAATAATAATACTAATAATAATAATAATAATAATCCCGTAACATATATCGCAATTCAATAGTTGTATTCAGAATTCCACATTAATTGCCAAGAACATATTAACCAATCCTAAGCTAGGAATCAATTCTAACCAAAGATAAACTAGACTCACCTCGATTTTATGGCGAAGAAACTCAAATATCAATAATTTAGTTCATTTTATATATTTAGTCAGTGAAGGTTAGTGTTTTCGATTTTGGATTCCACCAGGAAGACGAACAATTGAGACAAAAGGATAATTTCAGTTTTGGGTTCAAAGCTTCAAACTCAGCAACGGGTTTGAGAAAGGAGTGCGAGAGAAGGGAGGAAGATTAAGTGAGAGAGGGTGCGTGTATTTACAATTTTATCCATGTTTTTAACGGAAATATTAACAAAGGACCTTTCGTGGAAAATAGTATAATAATTGGGGACTAAATTATTGATATTTGATATGTAGGGACTAAATATGTAAAACGAACTATAACTGGGGACCTTTTATAGAATTTATTCAAAATAATTACTTTGTATTATCACAAATCCCACCCTTTCTTTTTACCTATAAGGGAGCAATGTTTGTGTGACGATTAAGAAAAGAAAATACTCCACAATTCTAAAATCCATAGTATCAGGGTCCGTTTGGTACACAGAATTGACGGGATTTGAATTGGAATTAAAAATCTATAGATTTGAATTGGATGGAATTGAGTTCTCCAATTCCAATTCATTTTTTGCACTACTAATTCCAAATTCACATATTTGTGTACTATCACACAACAGTATTGGAATTACCGTTCTCAATTCTAAATCCATATCTTGAATTCCATGTACCAAACGGAGTCTACTGGTAATTCATTTCTTATCTTTAATGTCAAATATCATGCTCGTATAAAATTTGTAATAATGCAATTAATTAATGGAAATTGTGAAGTATTTTAATTCACTACATTTGTTTTGTAACTTTTGTACGATATTCTCAAATTCTGTTTTCATCTAGTATCACACGATAGGGGTACACCAAATTCCACACCAATTTGTTCCTTACACTTTTTTTATTCTACATTTTTTATTCTACATTTTAAATTCATTTTCCACTTTTCTTAGGCTATACCCGTGCGTTGCACGGGTCATAGTTACGTTACTAAATTAAGATCATTTTTAAGAATATAAATTGGTATGTATTGAAATGTAGAGATTTCATTATTTTAAAGTACAAAAATAAAATGATTTATAAATTTTGAAAGACTTTTTTATAAACTACATTACTCGTATAATTCATGTGAGCGTTCACGTCGTTGTATATCAAGATCTTCAATCCATTGTGATTTATTGCTCCTGAAACTGCAACATACAGTTGCCTATGACTAAATACAGGTTTCTGTAATAATAATTCAATGTGTTTCAGATATTGTCCCTAACAAAAATTCAGTAATTTGACTTATCTAAGTAATAATTAAACATATTAATGTATTTATTTTGGAATTTGTAGTTTTTTAATTTTATTTTCGTATTTAAATGGTACCATTTAGTGACCCTACAAAATTTATTTTCTATTTTATTTTAGATCAATTACCATTTTTACACGTGTCCATGCTTGTAAATTATAATATTAATAGTATTAATTTTAGAATACTTACCATTGTCACATGTTTACATGCCTATAGTATAAATAGTATTCGTTTATAATTTTTTTATTTTTGCATTTAAATTGTACCATTTACTTACTGTACCATATTTATTTTTTAATTTATTTCGTAACACTTATCATTTTTACACGTTTCCATGCTTGTAAATTGTAGTATTCATTAATAGTACTATTAATTTGTTGTTTTGCTAATTTATTTTTGTATTTAAATGGTATCATTTACTTACTGTACCGTATTTATTTTTTTAATATACTTTAGAGCACTTACCATTTTGATATTTATTTTATTTTCTAATTTATTTAGAACACTTACCTAATTTATTTTAGAACACTTATCATTTATTTAATTTTTGTATTAAAATGGTACCATTTGCATATCGTGTTGACGTACCGTACCGTATTTATTTTATAATTTTCTAATTAGAACACTTACCTTTTTAAAAACATTTTCATGTTTGTAAATTATAGTATTAATATTAATTTTTCAATTTTTATTTTATTTTCGTATTTAAATGGTACTAATAACTTACCGGACTACATTTATTTTCTAATTTGTTTTAGAACACTTATCATTTTTAGATGTATTTTACTTTCTATTTCATTTTAGAACACTTACCTAATTTATTTTAGAACACTTGCCTAATTTATTTTAGAACACTTACCATTTTTTGTTTTCATTTTTTAATGGCGTCATTTGCTTAGCATACCATACCGTATTTATTTTCTAATTAGAACACTTATCATTTTTAAAATGTTTCCATGCTTTTAAATTATAGTATTAATATTAATTTGTAATTTTTCATTTTATTTTTGTATTTAAATGTTACCATTTACTTGCCGCACCATATTTATTTTCTAATTTATTTTAGAAAACTTACCATTTTTACATGTTCTTGCTTTTAAATTATAATATTTTTTTAAAATAACTAATTAATTTGTACGTAGTTTTTTTAAATAAATCATTCTAATCCCGCCCATACTTTATTAATTTGTAGTTTTTTAATTTTGTTTTCTTAATGAAATGGTACTGTATTTTATTTCCATACTATTATTCCTCAGTGGTTCATTACTATTTAATTTATTAAATTTAATTTAAATAT